CCGGCGGGGCATCGCGCCAGGCGTTGCACAAGGCAGCGCTTGGGAGGGGGTGGCTCTGAGTCAGCGCTGAGCTCTGGCAGGGCGCCGAGGCTGCGCCGGGCGGACAGGGGCAGCCTCAGCACTCACCTGTCGTTCAGCCTCTCCAGGAGGTACGAGCCCAGTCCCGAGCCCGTTCCGCCAGCAATGGAGTGGCAAAGCACAAAGCCCTGCAAGGAAGCAGGACACGGGCAGCTCAGCGCCAGGAGCAGGCAGAGCAAAGCCCTCTGTGCCACCACCACCGCCTCCAGCCAGGGCAAGACTCCCCCACCCCGGGACATCTGCATCTCTGCACACAACACAACGTGCAACTGCTGCTCAGGAGCCTCCTGGTGCCTCCCACCCCGCGACAGACCAGAACAGCTCCAATATCAGCTCCAGAGACCAGCTGGTTGTATAAAGCAGAGGTACACGTCCCCAGCCCTTTCCCTGGGCCCTCGGTGCCATTCCCCTCCCACAGTGCCCGAGGCCAAACTTGCTTTGCCTGACTTCAGGGCAGGGCAACCAGGCCCAACTCCCCTGATGTACTTACTTCCAAGCTGTCGCTCCCATCAGCCTCTCTGTCTATTATATCAAATATATCTTCGTGGATTTTTTCTCCCTGCAAGAGACACCAGACCAGGTCTTGTTCCTTTCCCACAGAAAATGGAGAAGAGCAGCTCAAGCCTGGGGTGAACCAAGGCGGGCTGACAGTGTGCCCCTGTGCCCAGGGTGCCCCAGAGCCTCAGGTGTCAGCCCCTGCTGAAGGACAAGGTGAATTTCAGAGACCACGTACTGAGCCTGACATGAGAGCACCACGATTCAGCCTCACATGTAATGACCTGACCTTTGTCTGCACCCAGGAGCACCAGAGCTGTTACCTGTGAGAAGCCACTGGCCCAGTTGTTCCCAGCTCCCCCTCCATGCTCAGACAAGTAAATGTTTTCTGGGTTGTAAAGGTTGGCATAAGGGGAGTTCAGGATGGAGTGGATAACTCGAGGCTCCAGGTCCAGCAGCACGGCTCGAGGGATGTAGTGCTCATCGTCTGCCTGTGAGGAGGAGCAGCAAGATCAGTGCAGGAGAAGCAGCGAGTGCTTGTGCCACCCCCTGGCCGCGGGGCACAGCCGCCTCCTGACGGGGAAGAGGAGGAAGGACGCTTGCTCTGTACAACTGCCCGCTCTGCAGCAGCTTGATGCGCCCCAGAGCACACCCTGAACGCGGGGCGGGCGGAGGGGGGGCTCTCCCCTAACGGGTGGTTACGTCAGGAGGTATCTATGGCACCTCAGCTTCGTGCTTCTGCCCCCACAGTCGCAGCACGCAGGAGGAGCGCTGGCAGCGTGCT